GCATTCCTCCCGTGGGCAGAGTATTGGTTCAACACCACCTTTAATGCCTCAACAAAGTTCACCCCTTTCTGCATTGTTTATGGCCGCGACCACAGTGGCAGCGGTGGAGGAACAGCTAGCCCTACGCAATGCCATGTTGGACCTGTTGAAATCTCATCTCGTGTTAGCTTAGCATCGCATGAAGAAATTCGCTGATAGGCATCGAAGGGAGCTCAGTTTCAAGGTGGGTTGGGATACATACTAATAAACAAAAACCAACTCTAATCTACTCCCTTAGACCATCCCCAATGTAAACGCTCGTCTCAATACTAATTTGACACCAAAAAGAGCAAAAATAGCATAATTAATATGGTCTTACTTGTGCTCAAAAGCATAATGTGCACCTTTTAATTATATATTTTAAGCTTTGTAACTTATAAGAGCATCTCCAATGCAATGCCATATTAGTATATCCCACTTCAAATTTTAACATTTGAGTAGCAAAACTACTCTCCAACACAATCTTACTTCTTATGCTAAATTTAGCATATGCTTTACTTCGAGTCAAATTTGACACCACGGAAAACATAAGCCAAATTTTGGCGTTTAATTAACTTTTTCATTCAATTGTTACGATATTGTCACTTTCAAAGTAATTTCGCATTTAAAGTTTACATATGAACAAAACTAAAAAGAGACGAACAATAATTTAATACCTATGCCTAGAAAGCATTTCATCTCGAGATTCCTGTTTCTTTTGAGTTGCTTGCTCTGCAACTGCTTCAGACGGTTTGTTATCCATTTCTTGGGCGTCTTCCATTTGAGCAACCTTGGAATTAATGAACAGGATAACATAAACGCAAACACAATGGCCGGTGAAAAAAATGCAAGAAAAGAAAAACAACACAAAGTTTCTATCATAATTCATGCCCTAGACTAAAATAAAGTCCATTACTGCAAAAATTAGAGAATTTTCACAAGTCAATTAGGGAAACCATCCTTAAAAATCCATGCTTTATAGCTTTATTCAACAAATATAAAAAGATAAAATAGAATAAAATCAAATCAGCAGCTAAAAAGTAATGAAAACTGATAAGGGGAAAAAAAAAGCATACACACATATATATATATATATATATATTTTTTATTCTTTTTATAAGAAAGAAAGAATCAAAAGAAAACAAGAATGCTAAATCGCAGTTAAGCAAACAAGAGGGATAACCTTATCTTATATTGAGCTAGGATTGCGATGACTTCAGAATATGAGTTAAGCAAGATGTTAATAAGGATATCGGGATTTATATTCAACCAAAGCTGAATGCTAAACCGCAGTTAAATTACCAGCGTATGTAGAGGATTGCAGTATGCAACCAAGGTTGATTTTTATTTTTTTTATTTACATTATATTTTATATTTTATTTTTTATTTATGTAAGAGAGAGTAACGCAGGACGGCCTTCCTTACGAGCCTCTTTTTAATACATAGCAAAGTAAAACACTTTTAAGGAATTAAAACCACTAAAAACTAGTAATAAAAATAAGACTAGTTGTGATAAGATATAAGAGCAGTTATTGACTTTTGAAATATAAAAGTAGCCGATGAAATGCAGTTATCTTAATAAGGGAGAAATTTTTGAAAATGTTAGAGAATAAAACGGAGGGAAATTTTTTTAATAACTATTCAAAAGTAATGTCTATATTAGCAGACATCTGCAATCAGGACAATGGTAATACGATTTAACATTAAAAAGAGATTAAAATATATCTTTTAAAGAATTATGAAGATGAAAAAGAGTAACTATGAGGAAAGGATTTTTTTTTTTTTTTTTTTTTTTTTGGACTTATAGGAAAGCTAAGTAATGTAGCATTTAGAAAATCATTAACTTTTTTGCTATTTAATGATAAGAACTAAATATAATGATAAGAAGTTGCCATCATAATAACTAGATAATATGAGTAAAACTTTAAGAAAAGAACTATTGAAACACCCATATTAAACTCTTACATGAAGAGACTAGTGAAACACAAGAGGAAAGAATATTACACTAACAAAAGAAAATTGTGATGTACGAGAATAATATCAATTGTAACAAAACAGAGAGAGAAATCCAAAGAGTAAAGTATAACTATGATACAAGACAGTGACATAGGTTATTATAGACAGCAACATGTGTAGCAGAATGTAAGTCAATTGAAAAAATCAATTAGGTAAAGGAACAAGCATAAAAACTTGGCATAATGCAACAAGTGCAGAAACTAATTGAAGAAAAATGCAGATAAACAAGGATAAACTCAAAGATATTTCAAGAAAAAAATGTCATATAGTGGGAATACATATGGATTACAGAAGAAGCTCCAACCAAATCTAGTTACCAAACAAAGAAAGAGGAAAATAATCCAAAACTATACAAATCATCAAAAACGATGCACACAGTGCTTAATACAAACACTCAATCTATAACATATTCAGGTCAGTATCGATACTGCTATACTATTATAGTATAGACATAAATTAGTCACGAAAACATAAAAGAAATTGTAGAACTCACTACTTTTTAAAGTAACGGGAAGATAATCAATACATCACACTAAAACAATCAAATTATGCAAAGTATTACCATACTCTAATAGAATTACCCAAAGAAAAAACAAATTTACATAAACAAACTTCTGAATGTCAAAAACAAATTCTTAAAATAAAGCAAAATATGAACAAGCGACGATAAAAAATACTTGTAAATCCATGAGATGAGACTCGAATCGAGAGGATTCAATTAGTGATTAAAGGCAATGTTGCGTTAGAACCGAACAGAATCACTTCCAATCAAGGGAGATCGGAGATATCACTCAGGACCAAACAAGAGTTTGAACACAACTTTCAAGATAAAGTAAAGGATTGAAAGGTAAAGTACCATATATATTTTCCATAGGCAGGCAGAAGAGAAGACAAGATTGATTAGGCAGACAGAAAAACCACCAAAAACGGTTACAAAGGATTCATATATAGAAGAATTAATAACCTAAAAAGATAGAATTTGTTAGATTTTCCAAACAAACATATCAAAAGTTTCAACAAGAGAGAGAGAGAGAGAGAGAGAGAGAGAGAGAGAGAGATAGAGAGAGACCTTTTAAAACTCAGGAACGCAGGGACCAGAATGAGAGCAATCGAAGGTGACGTTACTTCCTCGGGGGTTTCTTTGAAAGTCAGCAGAACTCTACCCTCAATTCCTCTGATTTCATTTGAGCGAATTAGGGCGTGAACGGAAGGTATTATTCCGAGAGCAAAGACGACAACTTTACCAGATTCTTAGACGAGAGCAGCGAAATCGAAGAAGAAGATTTGCTGCTGCTGCTGCTGTAAATGTAATGGGAACCTTTGTTGTTGTGTTTCTGAGTTTGGCTGTACATGTAATGGGAACCCTAGTCCCACATAAAACGCCAAACGGGAGTTAAGTCTCAAACAAAATCCCCCACCTCTGAAAGCAATGATTGTAAGCAAGTAACTAGATTAGACGACCATTTTACTAAATCCTAAACATTCAAAAAAAAAAATTTTTTGATGCAGATTTTTTCCGAACTCAACCAGAAATCCTAGTACTGTCATTTCTGAGTGCACCGATTCTAAGCAAGTAGCATATGCATACATTACCTAGGGAATTATTACTGAAAATGAAAGATAAAGAAAAAAACTCACCTGAAACGAAGAAAATCGTCTGCTAACCGACGAATTTCACTTTCTCGGGTCCCAAACAGACAATTAAGAACGATCACCGACGGTCGGTGTGAGAAAAGAATCCGACTTTTTTGGAGTCGCCAAACGCCAGAAACAGAGAGACTGGGATTCTCTTCTATTTACTGGAGCGAGCCCTTCTAGGGTCCAGGTGAAGGAGTCTTAGCCGTTTTGGACGTGAAACGACACCGTTGCTCTTCTAATTAACTAGATAGAGTGATTGACACATTATTCCCGGGACTCTTAAATCAGTAACAATTTGGCCCTCGTTCTTTAAATTTTGGCAAATAGAGTTTTAAACTATTTTTGTTAACGTAAATCAATTTTGGTTTTTTCGGTAAAAACCAAAAAGAACAAAATGCCCCGAGTATTGTAATGGATATCAGACCAATAAAAAAAAATAATAATTACAAAGAAAAACTAAAACAGCAAGGAATGTAAAATATTCATGCTTCAGAGGCTACTAGTGATTAGTGCTGAAACTTTGAACGGGCTATCCGTAACCACCGAAAAATCTAAATTTTTACTTGATTACCGAGCCTGAACTGCCCAAAAATTCAGGCTGCCCAACCCAACCCGAATTTCCCCTTGGACGGGCTTCGGGCAGCCAAATCGGGCTGCCCGTTGCCCAACCAAATTGCCCGAAAATTTTAATATTTTTTATATTATATATATTACAATTTAAAATTTGAAATGAACACACGAACTATATAAAAAACTTTATTTCTTTATTGATTTTTAAATTTGTAATTCATGATTGCCTCGTTAAAAACCTTACCAAGAAAAACCCAATTGAGATAAAAACTTGGTAAGAAAAAAAGAGTGCAATCATTGTGGGATGAATTATAAATTTGACGAACTTACAAAGTCTATACAAGATTACAATAACACTATAGAAATTAGAAATTACAAAGTAAATAAATATTTACAAATTACAATAATAAAATTTAATTTGATGCAGAAGGATTGTCTTGAAAATTAAAAGTTAATCTATTAAATTCGTCGATCCATTATTGGCTTGCCGGTGAGATTGTATTGTGTAAGCGTTGGTCGGAACGATCCCAATCCTTGATGCACACCAAAGCTTCAACAATATCCTGTTGCAATGCGTTTCTCCATTCTTCAAGTATTCGGACGGTTGTACTGAGTGCTTGTTCGGCTGCAACAGTGGAGACCGAGATCGAAAAAATATCCATTGCCAGTCGTGTTAGGATCGGCCAAGTTAATGCTCGTGCCCTCCACCACTGAACCAAATCAAACATTTCGATATTGTTTACAACTAAGCCCTCACTCAGGTACGCCATTAACTCGTTGAAGCCGCCGTTGTTGCCGCCACCTCTTGATGAAGATCCACACCCAGATTCTTCTTGACCTGAGTCGTCATCGTCGTCTTCTTCTTCTTCTTAGACAACCCGAAAACATTCAAGAATGAATGCGGATTGTCGTCTCGTTGTTGTGGTTGTTCAACACGAGGTGTGTTTCTAAACCTACTTTTATAAGAGCTATAGAGAGAAAATATTTTTTTCCTTTATAATAGGAAATTGGTCAGTAGTGTCGATAGCTAAAAATTCACCTAAGTTATCTAATCCACTTTCTAAACCTTTTAATTTTAATCTAGGGTCGAAAATAACACTGAAACCATAGAACATGGGTAATTTAGACCAATATTTTTTAAACTTCTTTTCCATAGAGGCGATTAGAACTCCTAAAATCTCGCGTGTCCTAAATTCACTAAATAAAATAGACATTGTTAAAAGTTCTCCTAACGCTAATGGTGACGTTGGGTAATAAGTTCTACTAAACTTTAAGGTAACTTCGTGAAATCTACCTAAAAAGTTAAACAAGAGTTCGGCAACTTGCCAATCAGTTTCATCTATAAATCTTGGTCCTAATTTTGCACTAACATAATTTGTTATAGCATCTTTATAAGGGATGCACTGTTAAAGCATTATATAAGTGGAGTTCCATCTTATGGGCATATCTAAGGCTAATGCTCTAGGATTTTGATTACATGCTTGTAGAAATCTAAACCAATCTTGTATTCTTTGATTACTACCTTGAATCCAAGCAATGTTATCTCTAATTCTTTTAATATGACCTGACATTGATTTTAAACCGGATTTTACTATTAAATTAATTATATGACATGCACAACGTTAGTGAAATATATCATTATTACCGAATAAACTTATATCATTTTTAAAAAGTTCTATTCCTTTAGTATTTGCAGTTGCATTATCTAATATTATGGCCATTATTCTATCTCTTAAACTATATTCATCAATGACAGATAAAATTGTGTTATATATTAAATTGGCAGTATGTGATCCTATAACACATTTAAAACTTAAGATTCTCTTATCCAAATTAAAACCTTTATAATAATGTCCGGTTACAGCTAAATAATCTTTGTTGGCAACGGCGAACCAAATATCCGATGTTAACACAACGCAACCACTAGTAGAGTGTAAAATGTTGATTAATGCTTTATTTTCTTATTTATATAATTTTAATGCATCTTTCCTAAGAGTAGTTCTAGAAAAAAATTGTACATTAGGATTATGTATAATTTTAATATAACGCTGCCAATTTCTTTAATCAGTAAAACTAAGTGGTTAATCTAATGTGGCTAATAATCGTGCCATTTCCATACGATCAACTTGCGAATCGTATTTTCACGTGCTTAGACCGTTGGTTTGGCAGTCAAACGATAACTGTGTTTGGCGGAGATTGGCTCCGCCTCCTTACTTTTGAAGACACTTTTCAGAGTGTCTTCTCAAGTGTGTAGTGCTGTGAATAGTGTTACCTTGTAATTTATCACCACAATATTTACATTGAGCTATGTATTTAATGTTACCGTTATTGTCGACCTTCTCGAATGTGTTAAAGTGCTCCCAAACTGCTAAGGTGCGCTTGCATTTCTTCTTATAACTTGCAACACTTGCACTAGCACTACCGCTTGCCTCTCCTCCACGCCCACCAGTGCCACCACCATTATTTCCACGACCTCTAGTACGTCCACTAGGGCTCGGATTTGCAATTTTCTCAGCAACTCTTTCCGTAGTTTGCGATTCATGCATTTGAAAAATATTAAGAAATTGCCCTTCTTCGATGTTAAATTGGGCATCAATGGGAATATCACCACCATAACAAGAAGAAGTCATTATGAAAAATAAGAGAGATTGAGAGCGCTTTGAGAGAGATTAAGAGAGATCGAGAGAGATTTAAGCAAGATTAAGAGAGATTTAAGAGAGATTTGAGAGAGATTAAGAGAGATTAAGAGAGATTTGAGAGAGATTGAGAGAAATTGAAAGAGAATGAGAGTTTTTGGGTGAGGGAAATGGTTGGGGGAGGGGGTATTTATAGGAAATTTTTTGGCTTGAAAAAAAAAATTTCCCCCAAAAATTCGGTTCCAACGGCTAGTAGAATTCAGGCACTCGGGTCGGGTAAAATTCGGGCAACAGTCAAAAAAATAGCCGTTGGGGTTTGAATTTTAGGGCAAAAATCGGGCGGCGGTCGGGTTGGGCAAAAAAATCCGTTAGGTTCAAAATTCGGGCTAACGGTAAAAAAAAATTCAGGCAGATTCGGGAAATGGGCAAAATTCGAGATAATGGTCAAAAAAATTCGGGCAAATTCGGGTTACGCCGGAAAATTAAAAAAAAATCCGGCGAGCAGCAAGGTCGACTTCTCCACTGGCGGCGGGCATTTGGAATTGATTTTTTTCGGGCTGCCTGAGCCGTGCTCGACCAAATATCTCAGACGGGCGGCGAATGGCACCTACCCGCCGTGCCTGAAAATTTTCGGGCACCGGGCATGCCCACCGCCCGAAGTTGCACCACTGCAATGATTAGGTGTAAAATTCAATAAGAACTTAATATTTTCAATATGGATTATTTTCATAAATACTCTCGAACTATGTATCATATTTTAAAGTGTCACTCAATTTTTGAAAACGATTCAAATCACCCTCCGATGTATAGAAAATAGATTAACTTGACGTTTGGTTCATGGATTCAGAATCATGATTCATAATTATTCTCGATTTACGTGTATTTTTTGTGAGAGAAAATACTATAATGAGCCACGAACCATCATCCGAACTATGACACGAATCCACCAACCATACACAATTCTAGTTCTGTCTATAATTTTAACAGAATGCTAACGTGACATGCTAATTAAAGTGTAAGAAATGCATTTTAGAATATAAACCTTAATTATTAATTTAATTAAGAACCTATTAACCTTAATATAAAATCACACAAATCAAAAGACTAATTAAAAACAAACAAAACAAAAAATAAAAAGGATAAAGTTAAAAAAATCCATATTGTTGCTGCTACTATCTAATAAGATCATGAACATAGGATCAAATCTAGAGATCTGATCAAACATAAACTAGATCTATTTTTGCTTCTTTCAGGAACTATATGCAATTGTTGGAGAATTTGAGTGTAGAAGGTAAAAAGAATACATAAAACAAAAGAGAGTTTGAGGCGTATAGGAATATTTTCCTTAAGATTTTATTTACCCTCACTTCTCAAAGTTTAGTAATGAGTTTTAATGATAAATTACCCCCAAGATATAACAAACCCTTGAACACAATATCTAATAATAATATTGAGTTCTAGAACATTTATTAGTTTGTAAATTTTCTGGAGAATTAATAAAGACAAAAGTGTCATTTCATAAATAAATGCATCCTCTTTAAACATTACAAACATTCACATAATGGTACATTTTCAATCTGAATGTATCTTTTAATGGATTAATACACCTATTACAATAGTTATATTTATTGTTAATTAGTGTTCATATATGTATGAAAACATATCACAAATGGATGTAATGTCGAAACGTTTCAGATCACATAAACTCATAAAAACACTATTTTTCTGCAAAATTTTCACTGTAATGGGTGTTTTACCGCTACAGTATGCAAACAGACCTGAGAGGCCTACACAAAGGCACTTCAGCGTAAAGTTTTCTGCTGGAGCGCAAATATTTTTGTTACAGTAGAAATATTTCGGTTGCAGCCGATTTGGCCGAACCAAACTGCCTAATTTTGTGCACTTTGTCCGCCAATGTAGCGCTTTTAAAGTCTCTTTAACACAAGTTTTTTATGTTTTAACACTCAAATAATTTGTGATCTTGATTAAACATTTTGTAACAATTGCATCTATTCATATTCCTCTAAACAAAGCTTCGATTTTTTTTTTTTTTGCTGAACAAAGTTTCTAAATCACATCAACGATCAAGAATCTTAAAAGAGAAACAAAACCAAAACCAAGTCATTTCATTCAAGACAGAATTTCATCAAAATCAACTATTGGAATCCCAGTAAAAGAGATTGAACATAACCAATAGTTTCGATAGGCTCCAAAGGTGACGCGAAACTGACATTGTTGGTGGCACTAGATCTACAAAGCCCATATATGTAGCAAATGTCGCATGTCCAGAGCGCCAATCAAACCGTCGTCGTTGAGGTTGGAGTCCGCCGTTCTAAGGATGCTCATTACGAGTTCAGATCCGAAAGTCTCGCCGAAGCTGAAGAAGACTGGACATCGCGTGGGGGAGCTTTTTCACTGGGAGCGCTGCGATTGGTCGGGTTTTGCGTGGCGAGGTTGGGGAGAGGGGAAAAGCGGGCCGCTGATTAGGGGGCATGAGGAGCCGGCGACCAAAGGGTGACGGAAGGGAGAGAGATCCGAAAAAAATTTGAGGAAAATGTTGAAATATGGAATTTTTGTGGGTTTTTCAGATTCCATATCTGACTTTTTTTTAAGAAAAAAATAATATATATGAAATCTTTTATAGGCAAGGTCTTTAATCTGGCACTCACTATTTGGCGGACTGAAACGACATATGTATAATTCTGTCGTTTTCATGTATATTTATATATAATGTGTGTATATTTACATGTAAAGATGCATATGTTAAAATGACAATGTATATTAATCTTCAAAACATGTATTTTTTATAGCAATTAAGTGAACACATAGCATAAAAATATGTATATTGACTTATTTGTTGTATTTCATGTTAATGAACGTAAGCGACAATGTATCTTAATTATGTAAACATGTATTTTTTTATAGCAATTAAGTGAATACATAACGTATTAATATGTATATTGGTTGATTTGTTGTATTTCATGTTAATGAACGTAAGCGACAATGTATATTAATTATGGAAACATGTATTTTTTTATAGCAATTAAGTGAACACATAACGTATTAATATGTATATTGGCTGATTTGTTGTATTTCATGTTATTGAACGTCATTTGGAAGTTTCTTTTTTTACATTATGCTGTAGGAAACGACAATATACATGCATTTCTTATTTAAATTAAGTGAACATGTAACATATTTGTTGTCTGAGACATGTGAAATTTTGTATAAATAAGTGAATAACTGACCTAGTAATGTGTACAATGACTTAGTAGTTGTTGTTCAATAGAAGTTGTATTGTAGTTTGCTTGTATACTAAAAAAAAACATGCTGACGTAACTGTAAAATATAAGTTGTAGTTGTTGTTCAATATAAGTTGTAAAATTTGATTTTTGGAATATTTTATTTTTCTAAGAAGAAGATATTACAAACGACCACAAGCATGAAATTGCTTCCCTTTAGAGGTCGTCGCATAATGCATGACATTGGCTTGATTTTCATTTGAATAAGTTCCTTCACTTGTTTGGACATTAACATCAGCTAAGAAAATGATTAATACATATGCTAGATAATGTTGAAGTGTTGAAACAAATAAAAATGTTATTTCATTAGGAATGCTTAATAAAGACAAAACAGATACGTCTTAAGTATATAGCTTGATATATTCTATTTGCCTTTCAAAGGAGAAGCGTCCTACTTTTGAATGTAGTAAGTAGTGAATCGGATTGTTGTCCGAAGGAGATAGTAAATCCCTCGTGTTCGGTATTCATGTGAAGGCGGTAGCACTGTTGGGAAGAGCATATATTTTCCAAATACATTTATGTCGGGTGTGTGCTGTCGTCGTTCCCTTCTGAACAAGTCGGCATGGTTTTGGCCTTGTCTTTCTTTAACGGACATGTTTGTTTGTTGTGCCCATGGCCCTTACACAGGGCACACTTCCTTCTTAATCATTCCAAACCCAATTCTTCCTGAGCACTCGGCCCCACTTGCGGTCGCCTTGCCGTTCCCTTGTTTCGAACAATAATAGGATCTTTTAGTACTTCAAACAAAATGATTTCATCGAAAGACTCTTGTTGCCTCGCAAGAGGTGGCTCCTTTCCATCAAGCTCTTAAATTTTAAACATAAATTTCTAAGTTTTGTTCTTGTTTGTTGGTAGAAATCCTCCACTTTCGTTGCATATTATGCTACTTGGTTGAAGTCGGAGCTGAGGGTTCCGAACCTAGTTAGTTCCAATATCTCCTGTGGGACCTCGTTATTAGTTTGATATCGTCTTTGGAATTGGGCCTTTGCATGAACAACCCACCTGTACATAACAAGTGAATCTGGAATTCTTGTTATGTTTATAAACTTCATTACTGAAAATATGTGTCTGCACGGATATCCATCAGCCTCGAAGAGTAAGTAATTGCATGTTAGATGACCATCAGAGATGCGACGTATAACATTGTGCTCCGAGTCTCCGTTGGGAACTTGATGATTGAGAAATTTATATACCCATCAATCTCAACAACTTGCCTAACAATGTATGCATGTATGAGCTTTATTTCGTGAGAGACCTTTTTTGTATAAATTCTTCTCGTGAACAAAGAAGCAGCGTATTGATAGTATGGGTTTAGAATATCTGCATGTCGCAAAGAAGGAGTACTGTGTCAGGTGGAGAAGTCATCCTGCAAATCTTTACGACGCAGCTTGTTAATGGCGTGGTCAACCAAAGATATAAAGTCCGTGAGAGACTTCGTACTGTCGAGCAATTGTCTGATTGTTCTATTCATCGACTCGCTACGTTGAGTGGTTCGCATGCCTACACAGAAATTGCCACGTAAATAAGTTTCGACCCAACTCTCCTTTTTTTCAAACATACATGTTGCCCAGTAATTGTTCTCCAGTTCGTATGCCAGAATCAAAGAATGCCACCTATCGAGAAACTCAGGTTCGAAGTAGTATCCGTACATAATTTCCTTAAAGTCCCGCTTGAAGTTTATATCCTTCACATTGTTCGCTACGTTCTCCATTAGATGCCATCCGCATAGCCTGTGCTTAGATTCTGAAAAGATTTGCGCTATGCCATTCTTCATGGCATTGTCACCGTCAGTAACGATAACTTTTGGCTTCCTATTATTCATTCCTTGAAGAAACATCTGTAGAAACCAGACAAACGTATCAACTGTTTCGTCGACAAGGAGAGCAATGCCAAACACTGTTGTCCTCCAGTGGTTGTTTACCCCAACTAGCAAAAGCAAAGGCTTGTGGTATTTGTTAGTCCTGTAGGTTGTGTCGAAGGCCAAGACATTGCCAAAGACCGCGTAATCTCTCCTCGAAACCCCGTCCGACCACACTATGTTACACAATCTGTTTTCTTCATCGACATTGTAGATGTAGTAAAAGTCCCCGCCATGGTTCCTCGCTAAGCATCTAATGTAACCAATCATGCCATCCGAGTCCATGATGTTTTGATGTTGGTCCTTTGCCTTGCGCACTCGCATTAGCTTATTATGGATGTCATTTTCAAGGAAAGGGAGCTTGTCGTGTCCCCCTAATTCTAATGCGATAAAGTCTATTATTTGGACATTTTTCATGCCAGGCCGTTTCATTGACTCACACCTTACAACAACATCATCAGTGACATTGCGTTTGATCTGAGAAACCTGATTTCTTGTGGTGACGCACATTTGTGGTTGTGGTTAGGGTTGAAATGTCTACATACCCACTTATTTGTAGTTTTGCTTCTTACTACCCGAATACTAGCTTCGTACCCACAACATGTTTCAGATGCCGCCGCTCTTGAGCGGTGTTCTAGTTCCAACCACTTCCGTCTCCTAAAAACTTGTCTCAAGCAACACCACTATCTACCGCAACGATCACCATCCTTTTCCTTTCTAGTACTATCATTCCTGTATCTGAAGCCTATATGTTTCGAGTATAACTTGTAGAAGTTATCCCATAGTTCTTCCGTATCAAGGTCCTTCCCAAGTAAGTTTTTTGGTAGCAAATCCCAAGGTGTTTTAGTCAAGTCTAAAGTGGTACAGAAATCTGGCCACACCATCTTTGATTGTTAGTCTAGTTGGAATTTGGACTAGTGTAGTGGTTTATTCTACAAATAAAGGAGAGCGAGAGTGAATTAAGTGCTCCCATTACAGAATTGTTTTGTTGTAAGTGAACATGCATAGACTCAATATTACAACTATCAACTTTAATGTTTTTATTGTTAAAGGATGTGTTTTATTGAGTCCGTATCATGGTGAAGGTAAGGTAACGCTGTGATTCTTGCTCAAAAAACAGACCGAACACGTTCGAGTTATTGGCTCGTCCAACCCGGCAGCATTCATGAATCGCTCGTTCAACTGTCCCTCGGAGACACGGTCGAGAAGTACCATGCATGGTTGCCCCCCGTCCTTTCTTTATCTCGGTCCCACCCAGTAAGATACGGCTCAGCCAAAAAACGTGAGCGCCCCTGCGCGAGCCTTATTTTATTAGTAAAGTCAAGCTTTGTCTCCCTAAAGACTAAAGAATGGTTAATGTATAGTGTCGCCATGAATCAATCAAAAAATTTGCAAAGAGTTTATGTGGAGAAAACGATTTTAAACTTTAAAATGGACATAAGGAATGAGGAAACAGAGACAATGAGACTTCTGAATCATATTGTAAATGAGCAGTGTACTTGTAGTCGTGTTGAGTTGCTTAAATAACCTTTGGAGACGGAAATAATGCTCTAATATACCTTACAACAGCCTTTATACAAACAAGTTTATTTAGAATCACTGCATGCTTCTCCGAAGTAGCCGCAATTTCTTTAGTTAATGGCCAGACAGATAAATGGTGTTTTTGGGTTCTCCCACGGTTTATGATCCCATTTAAATGCAACAATTGGTTTGGTACAACCAATTGCGTTCATCTCATTTATGACCACGTTTACGAAAAGTAGCAAGCCTTTTGTGGTGTCTTTTTGTCCTGTGTATTACACTTATCCACTGATAATGGGCAGCATGTGAGTTTAAGCATTAAATTCCAACTGCTCTATGTGCCACATGGGCCGAGTATTCTAAAGTATTCCCTGTTGTATCCCATATACAACCCGAGGCCAATGGACTACTTTGGGGAATTTAAAAATTAACCAGGTATGAGGCCAATTTTCCTCGGACGAAATGTTATGCTTAACATATTGTACATTACAAGATGAGGACATTTTCAAAATATATGTGTCAAAATTAGGAGAATATTGTTTTACAATGAAAAATGCAATGGCCTTTCAAAATTAGGAGAACATTGTTTTACAACGGAAAATGCAATGGCCTTTCAAAAGTCCAAACAATAACACGGTTAATGCAACCTAATCATTAAAGTTAGTATAATCTTATTGCGGCTTATCTGGTCACCTTAAATATATTGTGTCACAGTACATGCTATTCGTAATACCGTTAACTTATAAAAAGTAATTAAGAAACAAAATCCTTATGGTTAACACATACGTTATAATATTGACTTTTGATTGCATTACACAAAAACCAAAACATGGCATGTCAATATGATACGTCATAGGCTTTAACAGGCATGCACTACTAATACCAAAAGTACATGTTCATCGCTCACATGAATATTCTAGTTTAGACAACATTTTTTATTTTATTTTAGCTACATAAAATAGTCGGAACAGTATGAACATCAAACATTCCGTTCGGCACTAGTCTAGGGGAATACACTCAACACACACTGGCTCACGTGTGGCTTCCTTCTCGTTCTCTTCGGTTGCATTCCCAAGGTCTTTCACTAGGCTGAGAACACGATCTTTGAGATTCTGGATATCATCTAAAAGGCTCTCGAGTTGGTAGCATTTGCTACAGGAATGTGCTGCCCTCCTAGCAATGGACCTTCGTAGGTAACGTTAAGAATCGTTAAGATTCTCAAGATACTTGCATCGTTTGCATGTCTGAATGATAACACGGGTTTGATGGCAATATGTTTTAATTGAAACACATGACTTTTGGTCAGATTTTAGGGACTCCTTAGGGGTTGGGTTGTCAAACACTGGTGTGGTCATTTCGGGAGAAGATGGTGGTTCAATTTTGATCATGACGTTGTTCATCGGGAACAAGTTTACTGGCTTCATCATGCTCAGTTATGCTACAAATGTGTATCGTTTGAATCTGGACTAATTTGGCCAGCTTTATATAGAATGTATCGTCGAGGTTGGGGAACGTTTTATATGTGCACCAATTGTGCAATATGGTTTTCCCGCCTAAACATGAGGAAGATATTATATACGCACCGAATATGGTCTTCATCCAAAATATGGCGTGTTGTACAATTCCAAGAGATCTGTTATTCTTCAATTCACATCAAATCATGGTCTACATTTCTGTAACCATTCTGCATATATACATTCAAAAGCTATCTACGTAATCATTCCATCTACAACCTTATGAAAAATGAAATCTTTGTTCTTGGATAGAGTGTGTTAGGTTACCCACTGTCCTCAAACACAACATTATATGTACTGTCGTAAGATAAATAAATTGGTAGCGTGTTGTACCATTCTAAGATATATGTATTCTTCAACAATATTATATAATTTACTACAACAATACACATCAAATCGTGATCTGCATTCAAAAGCTGGAACAAGTTTATTTTCACGCGCACTGTACCTCGACAAAAATGGCAAAGGTACACATCGAATGTTGACGTGGTGACAATTGTGTGTTTACATGAACATGGCTCACCGGACACGCCTTTCCGGTTGGAGGCCATGCTTCTACATTATGTAGCTCTGTCATGTTATACACAAACTACTATTTGAAGTGACTTTTATTTATCCAATGTACCTACCTTGTAGGTTGAAACACAACATTCTTGGATAGAACGTGTTTCATATTTAGACAATGCCGTATAAGGAAATGGTTTAACGTTTTCCATTTCAAATGCTGCAACCTGTGTTCGTCTAAGTTATGTGTATTAACTGTCGAAATACCAAGGCTTAATATTTTGTAACCCTTGTTCGTTACATATTCTATTAATAATAGTGATAATATAAATCATCCATAGTGACATAGATTAACTTAACATACAAGTATAGGCGTAATACGATAAAGCACAACATCATAAGGCAAATAAGTTGCCCCAAAAAAAGTTAATGACAAATCAACAGCTGCAGCATCTTAGTGCTATATGCCGACAACAACTATTCACAATAAACTGGAAATCCTCAAAAGCTAGTTGAGTTATTAGGACTTTCCCAATTACCACCACTGTTTCCACCAACAACATGTGGGAGATTCATCCAGAGACGGTAGTCCATGAAGTCCGCATACGTCTTCACCTCATCATCCTTTATATCCTTGATGATGGATATTTCTACCAACAAATCAAGTACTTTTAAGCTTGAATATTTGTAAGTTTTCAAGCATTGTTGTTAGTTTAATGTCTTTTGTACGCTTTTTATAGGAATTAGAAATAAATGCGAACTTGGATGATTTTGCATGAAGAAAAGAAGAATATTTGCCAAACTTGTGAATCAATGGCAAGAGGAGGTGAAAGAGGATTTTAAGGCACAAAAGATGAGGCTCTGGAATGCAAGAAAGCGGGCTGCAGCGCACCTTTTTGGGCTATAGCGCGCAAAGGAAAGCAAGAAGAGCAAGAAAATAATGCATCCAGAGGCCTAGCCGCGTGCTGCAGCGCGCCCAGAGGCCTGGCTGCGTACTGCAGTGCGCCCAGAGGCCTGGTCGCGCGCTGCAGCGCGCCCAGATGCCTGGAATTAGCCCTAATAGGTGTTGCAGCGCGCCTCAGCTTCCAGCAGCGAGATTCTTCTTCCAAAAATGCGCGTCGCAGCGTGTTTCACGCAGGCTGCAGCGCGCGTCTAAATCTCTAACTCTTAAACTGAGTAGTATGAAAAGAAAGAGATGCCACTTGAGAGAGGGAGCCCGGAAATTGAAGAAAACATCAAAAGGAGGCCGGAAATCTTTCATCTTGGAGGTCCTTGGAAGCTCTTCAATGGATTTTAGGTTTTATCTTCTTTCATCTATTTTTTCATGTTGAGCTAGACATTAGATCTAGGACTTGATGTAGTTTTATTTGAACTATGTTTTGAATATTTTGTTGATTGTTAATTTCATTTCATTTTCAATTCATTTATGTTTCTCTATGCTTAATGCTTCTAATTTATTTGGCCAACGAGTTAGATGATTTTTAGATTGCGAATTTGATGCTCGGGAGAGATTGAGTTCTTTATCTAGATTTGAGAAGCATAGTCTAGGTTGTTGTGAGACCGGGAGGAGATCAACGCTTAGATAATCAAATTAGGATTTAGGTCGTTGTGAGGCCAGGAGGCGATCAATATTCTTATTTTCTAATTCTAAAGGCGAAGCTTAATTTGTGTTTAAATATTCATTTCGAATATGGATATTATTTTTGATATTTAAATACAATTTCTTGTGAGGCACTCTGGAGAGGTTGCGAGATGACATTAGAGCCTTGATTAATGAATTAAATGGAATTGATTAGCGATTACATAATACGATGAACATAGGAATAATAAAGCGAAATTAAGTCCCTAGACCATTTGTGTATAGATACTTTATTTTCTTATTTTCACATTTATTTTGTTTTATTTTCTTAATTGTCATTTTATTAGGTTGCCTACATAAAGTTAAGTTACAATAATTGCGGTACTTAATGG